CTCTTGCATGCAACACCGTGACGTACCGTACAGGGCCTTGGCCTGAGATGGGCCAGGTTCATTGATTCAGGCTTTCTTCTGTCGTGGGGCTGTCATAATGGTGACCACGTTCCACCACAAGTGTGGCCTTTGGGCAATGCCATAATGGAGGCTGGGAAACTCTTGTTTGCCGTTGGATAATGAATTTCTAGGAAAAGCTATTATATCTCATTCATCAATGAGTTAGAGACACATAAAATTGCGAAAATCCATGTGAAAATGCGCAAAGACGCGTAAAGACGCGTTGAAACACGCCAAGGTAGGAGGCCTTCATAGGATCGCTGTTGGTGGAGCAGTACACTGAGTGTCCATGACCTTGCAGATTTATGAGTACTTGCCTCGGAAGGATGTTTGGGGGGAGGTTGGCTAGTTGCGGAGGGAAGAGAAGGTTGAATTGGGAGAAAATGAGCAGATCTAGGTGACGCGCGGGTAGAGTGAACGATGTGTGAAGTAGTACGGAAATTGCCGAGAACAACATCGCCCGATCTCAGTCTAAGCACCACGCAGGACTCCAGCCTCTGTGACTTCGTAACAATAACAGTATCTGCCCATTGCCCCTACCATGGAGGACGTGTCTGGGAGGGGTTCTTGCTGTGGCCTCCCAGACTGCATCATCAGGCGCCATCTTCAGCTTGCTGACCTCAGTGCGATCGATGCACTTAGAGTTTTTCCAGAGAGGGAGACAACTGGATCTGATGCCCATGAAAGCCCAGAGAACGGTTCACTCGGTTTTTCCTATGATTCACAACACCCCTTGCACACGATGAGACAGCCAGCGGCCCCGACCCAGTTGACTCGCTTAGAAGCACATCGAAATTTTACTACATCTTTATGTGCCGGCTTCCATACTCGGGGCTCCTCACAACAAGAAACATATTCCCAACGATCTCATTGTCATAAGATTGCGAACTATTGTACAACAAGCCCCATCAACATATCATCAAGCCTTTTCCGGAAATTATGCCTCGCTGGGGAAAGTCATGGACTGTTGGGGGAGGCGACAAGTTCTCCACCCTGTGGGCCCAAGAACAGCGAACCAAGTACAGGGGCTCATCCTTTGTCCGGGTAGGAGCGCCTAAAATTTTGTAACTTCCACTATTGAGCTGACCTTCACTGCTGGTACGAAGTCGCGGTGGACTCAAATTCCCAAGTACGTCGCGAAATACCGCTTGTGAGAAGGGTTTGTTACAGCGAGCTTCATGAAATACTCAAATGTGTCGTTCCCAGGACTCTTTGGAACAAGCATGCCCATGCGGCATCTTCTTGCCCTTGTTTCGGACAGCAGCGCTTATATGGACGCAACCTCTTTCACCAAGCTCTCCGACACCACTCAAATTATCGCACTCACATCGGTCTCATCAATCAGCTGTGGCCACTTTCTTTGTGGCACGAATTCTCGTCGTTGGGCCATCATTGATCACAGTTGCAAACTCGTGAGGCCAATTTTTAGCGTTGACAATGATGACTACTCGAACATTGCCACTTCCCATTATCCGCACACCTGAACTCTGTATAATATGTCGCAGCTCGAATACCATGAATTGAGTGGTAATTTACGAATTGAGTCTGGTATTTAACTTCGCGAACGTATATTGTAATTTACCATGATAAAAATACCACGAAAACTGTGGTAAATGGTGAAAAACCAGACAAAAAGTAGTTTTTTACGGGGCTTTACTTCCCACAGTGATAGGTTAATCATTGAGAATCTAGCATACGGGCACCAGATCAGAGCCAACTCATGTCAACCCGAGTGTTTGCGAGAAATCTGACTTCGGCTCCAACTGGAATATAATATGGGCTGCAGGGAAATAGAAGAAATTCGTCAAGAGAATTTCCCATTGATCACAAGTTATGCGCAAGGACCTCAGAAGAGTATCAAACTCCAGAACGGAACTTGACATTAATCAATTCAGATCCCAAGTTGCATGCCAGACATTTCGACTTTCAACATCATGCACACGGTGGATCAGTCCAGTCAGAGGACAATTTGTACACCTTTAGAAATTAAACGCGTCCGTAAAGTCCTTCCTCTGGAAGAACTCTATTCCCTTCTTCCGGAAATCATCAGTGATGACATCGAAGTGCCCATTCCCAATCTGTAATATGTGGTGTTGCTCCCCGTACTTGGGCCAATTAGGCACTATGTCAGCACACAAAAGCAACAGTAAATGGGTCAGTTCTCCTGGAAATGAATCGGAAGTGAAGGGGTAGGGGAAACGCTCACAGTACGGGCGGTTGGGATCCAGGGAATTCGCAAAGGCGACCCAGGCGCTGATCATGTACGATGAAGTCGTACCCAGAACTGGGTTCCAATCATAGATGGTGTGCATGCCAAATACTAGCAGCGCGATCGATGTCGAATGAGGATACGAAAAAATCAGAACCCCCGGTAAAACATTGGGAAGAGGCTCACCAGACGGAAGCTCACTCCGTGAAAGGCACCTAAGTATACTGGTACTCCTGGAATCACCTGAGTATAAAGGTATGTCCATGCCGGATAATGTGCACCACGCCTGAGATACGCATCCAGGAGTGCACGCCGACCTATATAATTCCCCACATCAGGCAAAAATCGGCCCCATCGGTAAGCATTCATTGTTCCAAGAGTTCTCACGACAGTCAGAGTAGACAATACACACCGCTGTGGAGGACAATGTCCCCGAACAAACTCGCAGCCCTCTTGAATTGATTATTTGGCCCAAAGAACCGATCGTTCTTACTCACTCCAACCGGATCATAGGGACTTCCAATTGCCGGAATATCGGGGTATAACTCCAGAAGGCCCTTGAAGAGCTTCGTTTGCTTCACACTAAGATTCCCAACGTAAAACCATTCTGCAGCGACAAGACAAACGGGATAGGAGCAACGTAAGTGTTTGGATAATACAACGTTTTTCTGGCGGAGAAATTTTCAAGAAACACGGACCTCTGAAAAAATTCACCATTTGATCGGTGTTGTTGAACGTATGGGGAACTAATAACGTCCCTTCGTCGAGATTACACCCGGTGATGATAGGCACATTCGCTACATAACCCCGTCTCACTGCTTCTGCCGCACGGATCCCCCCCTTGAAAAAGAACCCATCCACTACTCCGGTGAAAGCAAGTGCAGGGTCCGTCGTGTTTAACGCCGCGAGTGAGGCTTGGTAAAGCACCTCAGAGGGTTTCGAACGAAGACATGATATGACTGAGGTATTGAAGGGAAGACAACCTGCTACTGCGACAAAGATATTTGTCCAGGGAAAGATGTCGGATACAAGGGGAATAGAGATACTGGTAATAGAATGAGACGAAAATCAGATGGAAAACTAGAGAAAGTCGAATGATGGTACCTTGATGGAGATCCGCTCTCCATAACGGCACCATGGAATAAATTGTGCTGTTTCACATATCGACCACCTCCAGCAAGGAGGAGAGATCCAATCCCAACCGCACCCGCCGACTCACCAAACACTGGACAGGTGTAAACCCCAAATCCATATTGCTAGAGCAAGAACTAACCTGTCACTAGGTCCTTGTTTCCTCCGAAAGCAGCAATGTTCTCCTGGACCCATTTCAAAGCGCCCACCATATCATGTAGGCCAGCATTGAGCGTTCCGGTGGTGGAAGCATGTGCCAGTTCAGGAGCAGCAAGGAAACCAAACGACATTAGACGGTAATTGAAGGACACATAGATGACAGATTCATTCTGAACAATCCAAACAGCATTACATATCAGAAAATTAGGGCTGAGATGGCGGAAGGAAGTACTCAAACCAGAAAAACGCTTTGCTTGACGATCACCGAGCCATTATATAGTTGCGATGCACCGAAAGTGTTGCCTCCTCCATAAATCCAAACCATCACAGGAAGTTTCGCACCATGGGGTAAGTTTGAGGGTCGGAGGACATTAATGAAAAGACAGTCTTCTGACATGTCAGAAGCCGTTAGATTCAGGGTCTAGAAACAAATCATCCGCAAAAGTTGAAGGGGAATCAATATGAGGACGAAGGACATACACTAAGCGGCTGTAAACATGCTTTTCCGTACTTGGTGGCATCTACCGTATGACTCGGACGTGGTTTCAGTGGTTGGGGCTTCGCAAACCTCAGCTTGCCCAATGGAGGCTGAGCATACGGAATGCCCAAAAAATAATCCTGACGGAACTGGGGTGAACGAAGGCCTGTAACGAGTCCTTGGGCTAGTTGAACCCGAGGTGTGTGCAAGGAAGGATGATCGATGGGCGGCAATGAAAACACAGAATAGCACAGTGAGGAGATCACGAGAAAAACGTTTCTCATCGCCGTCTTGGTAGCCCCCATTATCAGCCCTGATGTGATGTGGCTTGCCGAGGCCGCTGTCTATCGGTGGGTGGTATGGATGAAAAATGCAAAACGGGGCCCAAGACCGCAGTTCTCTTTGACGAAGTGGAGCTAGAGGTCATGCTAAAAGCAGATGAGGGAGTTGATAAGGATGCGGAGCCCATGGCAACAACCTATCGGTTAATGGGTTGGGCCGAACTGAGGTTGTACGGAGGCGAATTTGGATGCTGTTTACTCCAGATGTCATTGAGCCCCAGGGTAAGAGTTGTGTATTGCGATTGTCGCCAAATGCAAGCATCATTCCCATTTAATCTGATGTGGCAGGGTCTTGGCTTTCGACATCCTGAACTGGTTCCTGTGCCTCTGGCCACGGATACAAATCTAGATTACATATGTAAATGAGAACCTAGAGCCAATGGCAATTATAAGAAATCTCAACTCCAAATGAAATGCACTAGCAACGTCTTAAAATATGACTCGATAAGAAAATCTCTGTTGTTTACGAGTTATGTAAGCACAAAGACACACAGAAGAGTGTCAAACCCCAAAAAGGAACTTGGCATTATTTAATCGACTCAGATTAGACTGTCCGAGTCGCACGTCAAACATTTCGACTTTCAGGTGGATTAGTCCAGTCACAGAACAACAGGCACACCTTTTAGAAATTAAACGTGTCCGTAAAGTCCTTCCTCTGCAAGAATTCTATTCCCGTCTTTCGGAAATCATCAGTGATGACATCGAAGTGCCCATTCCCTATCTGCAACATGTGGCGTTGCTTTCCATACTTGGGCCAATTTGGCACTAGTCATCATACAAAAACAAATGAGTAATGGGTCAGTGCTTCTGGAGACAAATCTGAAGTGAAGGCGTTAGGAGAAACACTTACAAGATGGGCGGTTAGGATCGAAGGAATTCGCGAAGGCGACCCAGGCCTTCATCATATATAACGAGGTTGTGCCCAGAACAGTGGTCCCATTCTGGACGGCATACAGGCCAAATACTGTCAGCCGTGATTGACAGGTACAAAAAATCAGAATTGTCCTGCGGTGAGGGGTTGGGAGAAGTCACTGCAAACTCACCAGCTGGAATCTCACTTCCGTGAAAAACACCATCGTACACTGGTTCTTCTGAAGTCACTTGTGTATACAGGTATGTCCATGCCGGGTAGAACACAAAGCGCCGAATATACGCATCCAACAATGCGCGTCGACCTATATAATTCCCCGCATTAGACAAAAATTACACCATCTGTTGTTGTTTCAAGCGTTCCCCTCAAAGATTCGATCGGAGTAGATGTCACGCACCGCTGTGGAAGACGACATCCCCAAATAAACTCGCGGCTCTCTTGTATTGATTATTGGGCCCAAAGAACCGATCGTCTTTACTTACCCCGACAGGATCATAGGGACTTCCGATTGCGGGAATATCGGGGTATAGCTCCAGAAGGCCCTTGAAAAGCCTCCTTTGTTCTGACGTCGCCACACTAAGGTTCCCGAGGTAGAAAAATTCTGCGCCAGACAAGGCAAACAGAAAGTAAGTGTCTACAGTACAGCATTCTCCACGGGAAGAATTGCAGGAAATGGTCAAGGAACACGAACCTCGGAAATAATTCACTATTTCGTCCGCCGTGTTGAACGTGTGGGGCACGAACAACGTCCCTTCGTCGAGATTGCACCCCGTGATGATAGGGACACCCGCCACATTTCCCCTTCTTACTTCTTCCGCGGCACGTTTCCCCTCCTCGAAAAAGAACCCATCCACCACATGGTTGAAAATAAATGCGGGGTCTGTCGTATTTAACGTCACGAGTGAAGCACGGTAAAGCGCCTCGGAAGATTTGGAACGAAGACATGATATGATCGAGGGATCTGAGGGAAGACAGCCTGCCGCTGCAGCAAATATATCGGTCCAGGGCAGGACATCGGACACAGTAGGAACGGGGGCACTAGGGATGGAATGGAATGATAATCAGATCAAGGACTGGGGAATCGGAGAAGAGATTTTTACCTTCCTGGAGCTCCGCTCTCCATAATGGCGCCATGGAATAGATTGTGCTGTTTCACATAATGCCCACCTCCAGCGACAAGGAGAGATCCAATCCCAACTGCACCTGCCGACTGACCAAACACTTGATAGGCGTAAATTTCACGAAATTTCAAATTCCTACAGAACTTACCTGTCACTCGGTCTTTGTCTCCTCCAAAAGCAGCAATATTCTCCTGTACCCATTTCAATGCGCCAATCATATCATGTAAGCCGGCATTGAGTGTTCCGGTGGTAGAAGCGTGTGCCAGTTGAGGAGCAGCGAGGAAACCAAAAGCATTTAGACGGTAATTGAAGGAGACGTAGATGATAGATTCATTCTGAATTAATCCAAACATCGTCACAACCGCCTTATATGTCAGAAAATGGGGCTAGGATGCTAGAAAGAAGCGTTCGTACCAGATGAACGCTTTGCTCGACGATCACCAAGCCATTGTATAGTTGCGACGCACCGAAAGCAAAACCTCCTCCATGAATCCAAACCATCACAGGAAGTTTCGCACCATGGGGAAAGTTCGAGGGTCGAAAGACATTGACAAAAAGACAATCTTCTGACAAGTCAGAAGCTGTTATGATCGGGGTGGTCTAAAATAAATCGTTGGCAAAAGTCGGAAGGAAATCACTTAGAGAACAAGGGACATACATTAAGCGGTTGAAAACATGCTTTTCCGTACTGGGTAGCGTCCACCTTGTGACTCGGATTCGGTCTCAGTGGTTGGGGCTTCGCAAACCTCAACTTGTCCAATGGAGGCTGAGCATACGGAATGCCCAGGAAATAATCCTGATCGAATTGGGGCGCACTAAGACCTGTGACAAAACCCTGGGGAAGTTGGATTTGAGGGGATGGAACGTCGCGTTGCCAGTGAGAAGATGCGGGTAACAGCCACCACGCGCCCGCGTACATGGAAGGATGACCGATGGACGACAGTGAAAACACAGAATGGCGCAGCAATGACAAAGTTACGAGGAGCGCGTTTCTTATCAACATCTTGGTAGTCCCCATCGTTAGTCCCGATGTAATAGAGCCCACTGCGTATGACTAGACAGCACTCCAGGGTATGGATGGCAAATGTTGCACGTTGGCAGTGCGACCGCAGCTGTCTCTGAAAAGTACCGCGGACTAAGACGCAGGCAAAAGCGGATAAGGAAATCAGTGCGGACTGCAGCGAGCATAAGTAGGTTATTGCCGATGATAAGGACGCGAAACTCGTGGCGAATAGCCTCCACTAAAGTAGAACTCCATTGGCAACTGGAGTATATTCACAGGAGTGAGGGACGTTGAATTCTGATGCCGCTCGCTCAGGTGCCATTGAACCCCAGGGTCAGACTCGGACCCAGTCGTTCCAGGGGAACGACTGGTGGAAAACATTGCATCCGGGATGATGTAAGCGCTACATGTGACTATACCGACGTCGGTTCAATGTATATCACTATTTACACCTACTTCGATGTAAACTCGCGAACGGCATGGCCACCGACTCCATCCCTATCCTATCCGCACCCAAATGCTGAGCCAACGGAAGATACAATAAGGAGAAATGTCGCTGACGTCTTTGGGAAGACTCTTTGTGGTTTCCAATTGAGAGCAGTCGTTGCCCAGATCCATCGGAGGGATTTGCTCTTGACAGCTCTGGCAAAACTTTGATATACTGGGTGCCATTGCTGTATAATGGCGGAAGGATTCTAGTAGTCATAACACCACTTACTGTCCTTGGCTCTCAGCAAGCAACTGGACTCAGTGCACTTGGTGTAAGATAAGACTGGAATCCTTACTATGAGTAGGAGTGCAACCTGCCGCTTCTCACTACGGGATCGGCTCCTTTGAGACGAAGGTGGGAGGCCACTAGAATCTAACCAGCAATCATCGTCTTCGTTTTCCAAATCGTCAATGTCCTCCCATTTATCCAGTTCAACAATTTCCCCAGGGGTAAATGTCGCCGAAAGGAGACAGCCCACAAAGTAGGAGCTTTATGGGAGAATTTCTTCGCTGTCCGCTGAACAGACGGAAATTTAACTTCCTTGTGTGTCATTGATGAAGCTGAGGAATGGAAGCCAGAGGCTATGTCTGTCAGGCAATCGAGCTCATTCGTGAGTTGTTGGCGAGTGTAAAGGAGCACTGAAGCGAGGAACAGGGTAGGATCCAGCGAGTAGAGCATTTAGAGACACTTTTGGAGGCTTTCCCTTTCAATAATGAGACCAACAAGCGTAGGGAGAGACCCCTTGATTTTATGGAGATTTGTGGGGTTGTAACGCAGCTCATCGCTAAGGCAAGCGTCGAGAAATTCATACAATATCAGACCATTTGCTTCGAAGGAGTTAAGCACAGCCTCTACACGCGCTCTCTTCGGCACTTGAAAGGGTAAAGGAAGTGGGGACTGGTGGACGTCCATCATATCGGACAGTGAGATCAGTTGCGCAATAATATTCTTGTTGAGTATTGTTTGTTCGATTCAATATGCACAAATAACAGTATACGGCTGTCGTGGGAAAATTTTTTTTTTTTTTTTTTTTTTTTTTTTTTTTTTTTGGTGGAACCTTCGGTAGCTTTCGCGGGCGTAATGCCTGAAGGTTTGTAGGGAGGGCGGTGCCTTCCAGTAGTTGATGATTGGTGCCTCGGTGTGAGGGGAATTGCCACCACGGGGGAATGCGTTATCGCACTGGCGAGGATCGCTCCATGTGGGGCTCCCGTGACCGCGGAGGGTCAGGTATACCCACTAAAACCCCGTTGCACTTTAGCCAATTCTCGGGGAGGCATAGTTCATTCTCCAGTGTACCGCTCCAGGTGTGTAGAACGAGCCATTCGGGTAGAGCTTTATTATGGTATTTTTTCTTGTTCGTGAGGGATCTGTCTTGGTTAAGTTTTTCATTCATGGCGGCTTTGAGGGAGTTTATGGCTTCGTTGTGCGAGATTTTAATTTCGCCATTTGTGTCGTCGCTGAGGACTCTTTTACATCTTAGTTTCCATGTTTGCCAAGCGCATTTGAGGACGGTGATTCTGAAGAATCTAGTAGCACCGTGGTTTGTGATGCCGCTCCGGCTTTTAATTAAGGTTAGGGGGGCTGCCATTACATGGTGTATATCCATGGTATTGGGCCAGCGTATTCCTTTTGTTGTGTTCATGGATCTTATGGCGGCCCAAAGTTTAGGGCCTTGGTTGTGTGGGCACACAAAAACGATATGGTTCATCGATTCAGGGACGTCGCATTTCGCGCATAGGCCGCGGTCTTCGTATCCAGGGATTTTACTCCAGTAGGGGCCGACTTTGTGGGCGCCGTGGACAAGTTTCCATACGAAGTTTCTAAGGCTGGGGTTCAGTTCATTCTTATTTCTTAAGATGGCGTGCCAGATTAAGTCGTTGTTTGGGGCCGGGCAGTCAAGGCTTTTCAGGGTGTCTCTGATGTGGTCAAGGTTCTTCGTTGATCTTTGACTTTTGTTGTGGTTGTTCTTTGCTGATTCTCGGATTATTAGTTTCGTGGCGGTTGCTTGGGTTAGGGCGCACAGTCTAGCGCCGTTCTGGGTGAAGGGGAGGCTGGTGATGGTGGGTTCGGCATTGGGGGTTTTGTGGAGCCCATTGCAGCGAGGTTATCAGCATTTTCGTTGCCTTCGCAGCCGTTGTGGCCTTTAATCCATTCGATGGAGACAATGCCGTTTCTTGTCTGGAGGGAGTTGATGGTGGTCTTTATAGCAAGGGGATGAGGGGATCCGATGAAGTTCTGGTCTTCCGCATTGTCCAGATCTATGGTTAGTGTATTCATGCACCATTTAGAATCAGTTTTGATGTGGAGTCTAGCTCTTCGGGGCGTCGTAGCGGCTGCGTGGTTTATTGCTAGGATTTCAGCAGTATTGTTTGTTTGGGGGAAGGTGCGGTTTACGGGGAGGCTGGCGTTGTTGGGGTTATCTGTACTGTACCACACTCCGTAGCCGGCGCTGGCATCGATTTCGCCGTTGCCAGTGCAGGACCCGTCTGTGTAGGCAACGATGTCAGTGCTGAGGTTCCTTGGGAGTCTCAGCGTGGGGGGATTTGTCTGGTTGAGTTCTTCGCGGAAGATGCGGAAGTAGTCTGACGTATTGTTTTTCAGGTCGGGGAAGGTTTTGATGGTTTTGACGTTCAGCACGTCGCCTAGGGAGTGGGTTCCGGTGTTTTCTATATCGGTTCTCGAGGGGGGGGACGGCATGGTAGGACCGATCGGGGGTTGACTTGGGGTTTCAGGTTCGAGATTATGTTTTCAGCGGCTTGGTAGCAGGTCTCAGGGTTTTTACAACCCATTGTACGGAATCTTGTGCAGGGGGGCAGGAGCAAGATTTACTCCAGCGTCTGTGGAATGGATCGTCTAAAATGTTTGCCATGGTGAGGAGGTCGCCTGTGCGGAAGCAGTCGTGGGTTTTTCTCAGACATTTTGCCGCGGGCGTGTTTTCTCTTGTTCTGACACGGTCTTTTCTTCCGATGTGGTGCCATGCTGGGAGATCGAGTCTGATGCTCAGAGGAAGGTTAATGTCATCGAGGGCTAGGTTATACTTGACTCCTGTGTTGAGTATGGCTTTGATTTCGTGTGGGAGGGTTCTGCTCGTGTATCGTTGCTTGATGAAGATTTGCTGGGTGAAGATGTCGGTTATTCGTGGGTCGCGGGACTCTTCGTCCCGGACGTGTTTCGGGAGTGAGGAGATGATTAACGCTTCTGCGGCGTCTGCAGCCGGTGATCTGTTGGGGGACCTGTCAAGGATTCTCTTTAGTTTTACAAGGTGGATCGCCTCGTTCCTCGCCTTGATGTTTAGGATGTTTCTTCCCCCTTCGCCAGGTGGGTTGTTTAGAGTTTTCATGCTGATTGGGGGGATTTGAGAATTCCAGATGAAGTTTTTTGTTAGGGTGCCGAGCTCTTTTTCAATTTTTTTTGGCATGCCCTGGGCGGAGGTGTGGAATTGGGTCATGCCGCCGATGACCATTTGGGTGATGTGTTTTCGTCCTTCGATAGTCGGGTAGGTTTTTTGCCAGTTTTTAAGACTAGTGCTGACTTTGGCCATGATGTCTGGCCATGGGTCAATCCCGCTTGGGTGGTTTCCACAATGTGCTCCTAGATATCTCATGGTTTGTCCATCCTCGAGGATTAATATATCGTTGTGGAAGGGGCTGGTCGAGTTGGTGTTTAGATTTCTTGTGTTGAGTAGGGTTTTGCAATATGTTGGTGAGCCCACAGGGATGACTACGGATTTTTCATTGTTGAATTTTGCCCCGGAAGCAGTGCACCAGGTATTGAGGATACTCATTAGGCAGTCCACATCGTCGTCTTTTGAGAGGAAGACCGCGGCGTCATCCGCGAAGAGGGAGACAATGACTCTTTGTGTGAGTGACGGGGTTTTAATTTCTAGGCCTCGTATTTTGTCTGATTCTCTTAACATTATTGATAGGGGCTCGATTGCTATGTTGAACAGGAGGCATGACAGTGGGTCACCTTGCCTTACACCTCTGTGTACAGGGAACTCGTCGCTGATTTCGCCGTTCAGGATTACGCGGGTTTTTGGTTCGGAGTACAGTGATTTTATGGTGTTGATTGTGGGGGCTGGGATTCCCATGGCCTCTAGAGTGCGCCAGAGATAGTCATGGCGTATTCTGTCATATGCTTTCTCCTGGTCAAGGGCAACAATCGCACCATCTTGATTAATGATTTCACAGGGAAAATGTTTTCCACCAGCCGTTCTGACAAGATAAACAAGCATAAACAGAACGGCTGGGTACGAGCCTGCCCCAGGGTAAGATTTTGACATAAGCAAATGTCCAAGCACTACCATTTCCGTTCAATTTGGTGGCTTGATGTCACCCGGGCCGAAAATCAAATTGAAATGGGCGTTCCTGTGATATACTATTACAAAATCATATAGGCTGGGGTCCTGCTTAGTTCATGTGCCTGGACTCCCGTGTGTCTGACGTGTACTCCGCGGCCGAAAGTGTGAGGTCGGGTGGCGTGTCATGCCTGGCATTGGGTCTTGGGTTTTCATTTTGGACATTCATCTTGAGGCAGCGAGCACAATACTCTATTGTACACATTGATACTCGCCAGGTGACAGTTGTCCACATTGGTCATTTGCAAATCGATCAGGAAGGAACTTACCAGTCACTCGATCCTTGTTTCCTTCAAAAGCTCCGATATTCTCTTGCGCCCATTTCAGTGCACTGATCATATCGTGTAAGCGAGCATTGAGCGTTCCGATGGCATGTGCCAGTTCAGGTGCACCAAGGAAACCAAAGGCGTTTAGACGGTAATGTAGATGATAGATTCGTTCTGAATATTGTGACAACAGCGTCATACTTATGTCAGAAAATGGGGCTGAGATGCCGGAAGGAAGTACTCGTATGCCCAACGATCGCCGAGCCATTACATAGTTGCGACGCACCGTAAAGAAAACTCCCTCCATAGATCCAAGAAGTCAGGCCCGGGACGAACTAAAAACGAATCATTCGCAAAAGCTGGAAGGAAAATCGCTACGAGAACAAGGGATGCACATCAAGCGGTTGAAAACATGCTTTTCCGTACTTGGTGGCGTCCACCTTGTGATTTGGTTTTGGATTTAGTGGTCGGGGCTTTGCAAACCTCAATTTGCCCATGGAGGCTGAGCATAGAACATAATCCTGACCGAATTGGGACCGGTGACAAGGCCTTGAGCTAGTTAAACCTGAGGTCCGGTCAAGTTGGCAGGAGATGGGACATCGCACAGTCAGTGACGCGCACCAGCGTACAAGAGGGACAACTGACGACGAGTGGTAGTGAAAAAACAGAATAGCACAGTGAGGAAATTACGAGGAGAGCGTTTCTCATCGCTGTCTTAGTAGTCCCCATAGCTAGTCCTGAGGTGATGTCGCTAGCAGAGGCCACTGCGTATCAGTGGATAGCATTCTGTGTTAAAGGGTGGCGTATATTAAGCGTTTGCGCTTTTCGCTGGTGCTGTGACCGGAGCTCTCCCCGACGAAGCAAAAGGGGACACAGAGGTCATTGCGGACTGTGACCCTAGCGTGGTGTGATTAGTCAGATTGCCAATATGGGCGCGGAACCCGCAGCGAAAATTTATTGGTGAATAGGATCGGACTGCGGGATTCCGGGGAGCGGGGGCTCCATTGCTTACGTATTATGTAAGCACCAAGGCTCTCTGCTGTCTCATTCCCTTATGTGACTCTCTGTTGTCCAGCGGTCCCCATTCTTAGGAATTTGGATCTCAGCGTTTTGGAAGTTGGGCTCCCACTAGAGTTCAGAATACGTCTTCCATGACTCATCGTTCTATGTCACGAGTCTGAGTTCGACAACATGTAAGAACGCACTCCTTGCGCAGCCGGCCTCGTGGTAATGCACTGCAGCCATCCATTAGATGAAACTACGGTGTACTAAGCAAGACCAAACTATATCGGAAGTGATATGTCCATATAGGACAAGAACTTCCTGTTGTGTCTTCAGGGTGTGTCGTCTGTATAAGTTGTGATGCCGTCTACGCTTCCTGTCGCGTCTCCTGTCCTCTTCCCATCGTCAATCTACATCTTATCCTATCTCCTACTCAGCCTCCTCTGTGTCTTGCTCGCACTCCTGGTCCGTCGTTGCGGTACGTCTGCACAACACAATATGGGGGAAGTTCACGTGTACGGCTGATACATATGGATACGATGAACATTTGTGGCGGGTCGGGTTCTAGCTAGAAAACATCGAACGGATGCCATTGGTGTCATCGAACGGTCGAGGAGTCCGTCCGTATGTCACGTCATGATCCCAACGCATACATTGTTTGGAATATAGACGTTCAGTCCCAATAATAATATCTAAATGTGACTACCTAGCGTATCAGGCGCTAGATACGATGTCAACGGCAAGAATATACTTCCAGCAATGTGGAACTAAAAAAAAAAACCAATGAAAAAAACTATCCATCGGTTATAAACTAAGCGCAGCGCATTCACGCAGCCTTGCCCAAGAAAAGGGGAGTGCCTGAGTCCAAATCCAGATTAGGCCACCCCCCACACAACCAGGTCTTAGTCTCCTCAAAACCCATCAGCCAGGAGCCCAGTTGTAACAACCTGCGCCTCAAAAGTTAAACACATCCGTGAACTCTTTCCTCTGCAAGAACTCTATCCCCTCCTTTCGAAAATCATCCCTAATGAGATCGAAATGCCCATTCCCAATTCGTAACATGTTACGTTCCCATCCATACCTAGGCCAAAATGGCAGCACTTGAAAGAGCCCGCCACGCACACATACCAAACACAAAGGAACAATGAGTCAGAAAAAAAACTTTGTAAGAAAAGAAACAGAAGTGAAGAAGTGGGAACCGAGGGGCGTGCTTACAGAATGGGCGGTTAGGATCGAGAGAATTCCCAAAGGTGACCCAGGCGCTGATCATAACTAACGAGGTTTTGCCCAGATCCGAGGTTGTATTCTGTCTAGCATACAGTCCAAATACTGTTTTATAGCCCACCCGCGCGATATTGATGCAAAGTTCAAAGTGAAGGGGGGGCATGTGAATATAATCAGAAACCTGCTATGGCAGCGATGAAGGTAAGAGGGGGGCTGAACTGCAAACTCACCAGCCGGAAGCTCACTTCCGTGATAGACACCTTGGTACGCTGGTGTATCTGGAGTCACTTGGGTATAAAGGTATGTCCACGCCGGGTAGAAACCAAAGTGTTTAATATACGCATCCAACAATGCGCGTCGACCTGAATGATATAATTCCCCCGCATTAGATAAGAAAAAATGAACGCCATTGGTAAGCACTGGATGTATTCTACCCCCCAAATTCGATCGATTCGGAATAGATAGGTACGCACCACTGTGAAAGACAATATCCCCAAGCAAACTCGCAGCTCTCTTATACTGATTATTCGACCCAAAGAACCGATCATCTTTGACAGGCTCGTAGGGAGGAATATCGGGGTACAACTCCAGAAGGCCTTTGAAGAGCTTCGTTTGTTCTGGCGTCGCTACGCTAAGGTTTCCAACGTATAACAATCCTACTGCAGGTGGCCCGCAACGGAACAAGCACAGAACCAAAAAGCCGGAAATGAATGTGTAAGTAAGCCATATGCAGACTATGGAGGATGAGACGTTGCAATTTGGTTTTTTTTTTTCTCCCGCCGCGGAGAGAAATGGTCAAGGAACACACATGCACGAACCTCTGAAAAAATTCACTATTTCGTCCGCAGTGTTGAACGTGTGAGGTACGAATAACGTCCCTTCGTCAAGATTGCACCCCGTGATGATAGGCACATCCGCTACATTCCCCTTTCTTACCTCTTCCGCCGCACGTTTCCCTTCCTGGAAAAAGAATCCGTCCACAACTCGATTGTAAACGAGTGCGAGGCCCGTCGTCGCGTTTAACGTTACGAGCGAAGCTTGGTAAAGCACCTCGGACGGTTTCGAACGAAGGCATGATATGATGGAGGGATCGGAAGGAAGACAGCCTGCTGCAGTAGTGAAGATATTTGTCCAGGGTACGAGATCGGATACAGTGGGATTCCCAACCCGTCGACACTCCACGTTGTAACAAATCTGATATCAACAACAACAACAAGAATACGGGCGCAAGACCCCGATTCCATTTCCCACATCGAGTGCTGGATTGTTTTTGGAATGAAAAGGAACCTTCGATGGTGTAATGCTCTGCATCTTATTGCCCATGCCCACCCGGAGCGAACAACCTACAGATTTGATTTTCCCATGCAATGCCTCCAATACCATTGCCATGCCACGAAGTTCTTTGCATTTGATCGTCATCGGACTAATCACCAATATGTAAGCGATATCCTTCCACCCCAACCTCGTGATTCCGGATGGTCGCCGCTTCATGCCCGCTGGTACTTCGAAGCAAGGCTCATAACCGAGGCGCTCTTTGCTAGCGAGGGAGAACAATACAATAGAGGTGGCGAATCGCTCTGCATCATCCTTTATGCTGATCTTACTGGAGCAGATTCTTTTATGTAATCGTTGTTTTTCAGCAAAGCTGTGATCACAGCACCACCTTAAAGCCAGCGAAAGCGAAACGGCTTGACCTTTACCGCCTATCCTACAGAGCATCACTCACCTACAGGCAGTGGGCTCCAGGCGTTACATAGTGACTACAAACCTAAGCCAGCGATGAAGAGCATTCTCCTCGTGGTCCTTTCTCTGTGCTGTTCAGTGCTTTCACTACTGCCCTTCAGTCATCCTTCTGGGTGGTCATTCCTTGCATCTCCTCGCTGGACGGATGGTGTCCCATCTCCCACCAACTTGACTGGGCCTCAGGTTCAACTAGTTCAAGGTCTCGTTACAGGTCTCAGTGTGCCTCAATTTGGTCAGGATTATTTTTTGGGCATTCCCTATGCTCAGCCGCCATTGGGCGAGCTGAGGTTTGCGAAGCCCCAACCGTTGACGGTGAATGCAAGTGAAACGATAGATGCTACCAAGTTCGGGAACGAATGTTTGCAACCGATTCACCCAGTATGTTCTCGCTCCCTTGTTGATCCCCCCCCAACCCCCCAGATGATTCGTTTTTAGGGCACCCTGGGCATAACAGTCTCTGACTTGTCTGAAGATTGTCTTGTTATCAACGTTTTACGTCCCTCGAACCTGCCCCGTAGTGCGAATCTTCCCGTCATGGTTTGGATTTATGGAGGAAGCTTTACTACGGGTGCGTCGCAAACCTACGATGGCACAGAGATCGTCAGGCAGAGCGTTTTTCTGGTATGAGCAATTCCTTCCGGTATCTCATCCCCAATTTTTGACGCCCAACGTCGTTGTGACGATGATTCGAATACTCAGAACGAATCTGTCATCTTCATCTCCTTCAATTACCGTCTGAATGCCTTTGGTTTCCTTGGCTCTCCTGAACTGGCCGATCCTGCCACTGGAACGCTCAACGCCGGTTTATACGATATGATCGGTGCATTGAAATGGGTGCAAGAGAATGTTGGTGCTTTCGGAGGAAATAAGGACCGGGTGACAGGTAAATTCCAATCGATTTGCAATGGCGGGGTGGATTTGAATTTCGACCTGCCAAGTGTTCGGTGAGTCGGCAGGTGCGATGGGGATTGGTTCTCTCCTTGTCGCTGGAGGCGGACACTACGCAAAACAGCACAATTTATTCCATGGTGCCATCATGGAGAGCGGATTTCCAGCAGGGTAAATTTGTTTCACCTGCATCTTCGCATCTCCGATTTTGTCTGATCATTGCTCCATTCCATCGTCAGTCTCCCCGCTCCCATCGTATCCGATCTCCTACCCTGGACAAATATCTTTGTTGCAGCGGCAGGCTGTCCCCCCTCCAATTTCTCGATCATATCATGTCTTCGTTCGAAATCTTCTGAAGCACTTTACCGAGCTTCACTAGTGACGTTAAATGCGACCCACTCCGCGTTTCCTTTCAATAGAGTGGTGGATGGATTTTTCTTTAAGGAGGGAGGTGCGCCCGAAGAAGTAAGAAGGGGTAATGTAGCAACTGTGCCCGTCATCACGGGGTGTAATCTCGACGAAGGGACGCACTTTATACCACACACGTTCAACACTCCGGACGAAATGGTGAATTATTTCAGAGGTTCGTTTTCCTTTACTATTTCTCCATAGGAGATATGCCGTACTATCTCCACGCGCAGAAACTTACTTCCGTTTGTCTTGTTGCGGCAGAATTGCTTTATGTCGGGAACCTTAGTTTAGCGACGCCAGAACAAACGAAATTGTTCAACGTCCTTCTGGACTTATACCCCGATATACCCGCACTTGGAAGTCCCTATAATCCGATCGGGGTAAGTAAAAACGATCGGTTCTTTGGGCCGCACAATCAATACAAGAGGGCTGCAAGCGTGTTCGGGGATTCTGTCTTTCACAGTGGTGCGTGCCATCTATTCCGATCGAGTCTTGGAGCAACGAATGTTGAGCAATGACGTTGATTTTCATTTGATGCGGGAAATTACACAGGTCGACGCGCATTGCTGGACACCTATGTCAAGCGCAATGCGAATTATCCGGCATGGTCATATCATTATACCCAAGTGGCTCCAGATGCGCCACCATATTTGGGTGTTTATCACGCAAGTGAGGTTCCATCTGGTGAGTTGGAGTGGCCCCTCTCACATCCACCGCAGAGCAGAATTCTGATTTTCATATCCTCCCTTGCATCGATGCCGATACTAGTATTTGGCCTGTATGTTGACCAGAACAGGACCACGGTTCTGGGCACAACTTCGTTATACATGGTCAGCGCCTGGGTCGCCTTTGCGAACTCCTTCCAACCTAACCGCCCATACTGTAAGCGCCACCCCCCCTCACTTTTGTCCTTTTCTCAAAGTCTGATGCATTATTTGTGTCGTGCAGTGCCCAAATGGCCCCAGTACGGAAGGCAACGCCACATGTTGCACATCGGAAATGGGGACTTCAACGTAATTACCGATGATTTCCGGAAGAAGGGCATAGAATTCTTGGGGCGTAAGGACTTTACAGACACCTTTAACCTTTAAAATGTTTCAATTGCCCTTCCACGTAAGACTGGATGTATGGGACGTATGTTGAAGGCCGAAATGTTGGTGTACGAATGTGCCCTAATGGGACTATCGGTGCTATTAGGCTTTGCGGGGCAAGGCCGACTTGCCTAACTCTCGATGGGGATTTCCTTGTTGGGTTTCTTCTTTTCCTCAGTTCATGTTATTGGAACAGACTTCGTGCTTGTATCTGGCGCCTGCTGGTTGCGTTGCTGATGAATTTAACGTTGTTTGGGCTAAGCACCTTTACGCTAGATTCGTAGATTCCTATTATGTAGTGTACGTATTCGGACGCTGACGTATAAATAGGTGTAGTGAATAATTGGCAACGGCTGACTGAGCGACTGAGTGCCCGAGGGAGGATGTGTAGTCATCGCCACGAAAAGGCTAATGACATTCAAAGGCCCTACTAACAGCAAGGCGAACAATCAGTTCCAAGGGAAGAAAAGAGCCTGGATGAAGGAATGTGTGCTTGATCGCACTCGGCTGTCATTAGCTCGGGAGAAAAGGACGAAAAAAAAAAAAACAGGTCAAACAGTATGACTGAAAAGTACGGACAACTCAGCATGCGAAGGGGTGCGTATAACAGATGCAGCATGTAAAGAAAAGGCCCAAAGGGATGTGCTTTGCCATCAGTTCGAGAAGGGAGAGGTGAATGAAACAAGCCAGCTAAATGCTGGATCGAGCGGTATTGTTGAAGAGTGCGGATAACGAAGAGCATGCGCGTTCAGTAGATTAATTATTACGAAGTCATAGAGGCTTGCCATGGAGTCCTGCCTCTCAGTAGATGTGTATAATTCGAAGGAGCGCGGACATGCGATCGTTTCACGGCTATTTCCGCCAATGCTTGTTTGGCCAGGCTAGTCACCCACCTCTCCCCCCCCCTAACTAGCTGCTAGAGAGCGTGATACTTTGGGGTGCCTAACAGCCTATGAATCATAAAACGTTCTAAAACGTTTTAGAAGAGGATCTAGTTGTCGGCAGAAGCGTCCTTGATGTCCCAAAAATGTTCTAGAAACATTTTCAAAACGTCAACTGAATTGTTGAGATTGAACCATTCTGTACAACTTATCCCACCACCCACAAAGTTGTGGGTGCCTTGTTGTTCATGGCAGGTCGCGGTAGTGCATCAAAAGCACAGGCACCCTTGGGTGTGAGCATGGGGCATTTTTACCGATTTTTTTTGGCTGTTTCCTGTGGATATGACAAAGAGGATCGCAAAAAAATCAGAAAGACATTGCAAGCAAGACCTAATGTTCTCACGGCCTATGTCTCTCTACCAAATCCCTTGTAGTGGGCAGCAAACAATGCAGTAGGAGCACAAACACCATTGGACATGAGCTTTGGGCATTTTTGCCAATTTTTCACAGCTGTTTGACAACGAGGATCGTGAAAAATGAGAAAAATATTGCAGCATGATCTAACAATCTCACAGCCCATGTGTCAGGACACACCATGCACCATGCCATGCCACTCCCCTCCTCTTCCTTTTCTTTTCTCCTTTCTCCTTTCTTCCCTTCTTTCCTTCTTTCTCTCCTTCTTCTCTATCCTGATAAGGACGACCTTCCCTTCTCTCCTGTCATATCCATCCATGGCCATCACCCTCCACTACCTCCGGTCCTTCCGGATTCCCTCCACTCCTTCATCACTAACCTCAGAGCCTCTGGATCCTGCAATCACCTCTGACTCCCCCAATGGTCACCACCCCCTCAATTCAATATATTACTGTCAGGGCACACTGTCAGGGGACAAACCCGGGTCCCCATGACCCCTCTCTCTATAACCCAGAGCCTGACCTGTAACAGCCCATCTCAGGGCACAATGCTACTGTGGGTAAGAAAGTGTATAGATAAATAGAAAGTAGGCTACACTTGCCTACTGTGGGTAAGAAAGTGAGAAGAAGGTTAACTTCTCACTTTCCCACAGTGGCCCCAATATGGCGAAAACTTCCGGGGATACCCGGAAGTCACATGAAGGTAGGATCCGGGGACCGGAGCATGCGGCGTGGGAAGTGCGCGCGGGAAGTGGAGCGGGTCCGGATGCGGGTCCGGGTCTGGGCTAAGTCAGGGTATGTGCCCTGACACACACCCACCCAACCTGGCTCCACCTGCCCTCACCCGGTATCCCGCTCACCTCTATTCCTCACCCTTCCTCACTGTTCCTCACTTCTTTTGTCCTTTTGTTCTTTTGCTCTTTTGTTCTTTATCTACATGGACGACCTTTCCCCATATCTATGTATTATTGACCTGCCTGCGATGCACGCATGACACACCCAGCCCTGGACGACCCGGATGGCCTCACGGTGCAACCCAGCACATGCGCACATGCAGCACACAC